CTTTTTGAAATATAGAGTGTATAGAATTATACTATGCTGTATGGAATTATACTCTAAGGCATCCTCTCCCTTCCTCCTGCCCTCCTTTTTTCCTGCCTCCTTTTGAGTTTATAGCTTAGTTTAGGTAGGGTTGGTGTATCAATGAAAGATCATATGGTTGGTCCCAATGTCAAATATTTCAAATCAATTCTTTTCCTTGAAAATGAATGAAAAATGAAGATGCTGAGGATCTACACTGAACTACATTCCCTTACCAGGTGACGGACCCCACATGCCTATACCTTTCTTTTTTACCTGGTTCCTTTTAGTGATGTTTAGTGAGGTAGTTGTCCATTTCCATAGCCCTCTATAGTATGCTGCCTCAGGATGTAATTTTCCATGAATCCATCAAACATTTTCTGGAGGGCTGGTGTGGGTCAGGGGCTATTTCAGTCAGACCTGTAAGGCCGACACCAGTTTCTACCTTAATATGTGTGATACAACATACCAGTGATTGCGTAACCACCTTTTACAACTTGGCTGTCCTTCAGTTAGCCATTCATTACCCCAGCCACCTGTCCCCCCAAACACCACTGCCTGCACACACACACAGACCCAAGAGTTAAGTCATGCTCTCATCTCCTCGTCTTTCATCTTCCACCTGTTCAGCAAAGATTGGCACACAATAGGGAGACCTGATGGCCTGGCCCAGACAGCCTAAATAACGGTGGGCAGAAGCAAAGGCTCAGGCAGCGAGCCACAAGTGGGAGAGGAGGTGCGTGATGAGTGACAGTAAACAGGTATAAAACAAGATTAAACAACGGGTATGTTTTGGAGAACACTTTTTAAAACCTCCTCAGGCACCTTTGTTTGGGGGAGTAGATGTGTATGAAAATAGGAATTTTATAAAGCTTAATTCCTGATCCACTGTTGCCCTTACTGAATGCTAATCAATGATTAAAGCACTGCACAAAACAGGATTTAAAGCCCCCCTCAAAAGCATACAGTTCCACAGTGACATAATGAAGATAGAGAATGAAGACTAGTTATTTCAATGATTATGAAGGCAGTGGGTGTTAAAGCTAAATCAACTTACACTTGCCACTTCTTAACAGTTCTAATGACTAAACATTATTTTATACATTTATTAAACAGGAATATACTTTAGAGTATTTTTGAAAGAAACTACTAAACCCAGGCATGGGGGCGCATGCCTGTAACCCCAGCACTCGGGAGGCTGAGGCAGGAGGAACGCTGTGAGTTCACAACCAGCCTGGACTACATAGTGAGTTCCAGGTCAGTCTCAACTACATAGTGAGACCCTGTCTCAAAAAACCAAAAAAGAAAAAAAAAGACTACTAGATATACCAGTTTCCATAGCTCCGATAGCTATGTTTTCAGCATAGTGCTCAAAGCACAATAATCACTCAACAAATGGCAGATATAATCATCATCATCATCATCATCGAACATTGCGTCCAACACTTAGAAAGCTGAGTGCCTATACAGTCCCAGCTACTCAGGAGGCTGAAGCAGACGGATCCCTTGATCTCAGGACTTCAGGGCCAGCCAAGGCAACATATTGGAACCCAGTCTCTTAAAAACAAAACTTAGTTATTTATTTATAAGACACTTCACACATCTCTACCTGGCATTAGCTCATTGTGGTGTGCAAATAGCAGCCTCTAAAGTTATCTGCACCCTCATCCCCAGAGGACCTGTTCCTCATTTAGTAAAAGACATGTAGTAAATGTGATTATGTTAAAGATTTTCAGATGAGATTATCCTGAATTACCTAGGTGAGGCCAATATAATCACCAGGCCCTTATAAAAGGAGGCCGGTGGCCCAAAGTGAGCTGGAGCTGGGAAGATGGCAGCAGAGGTTGAAGTGACTTGGAGAGACGACCCAAGGAATGTGAACGGCCTCAAAAACCTGCCCAAAGAAAGGAAACATTATGTCTTGAAACTTTCAGAAGGAACACAGTCCTAATGACCCACTGTGGACTTCTGACCTCCAGGTACCTAAGGTAATAAATTTGCATTTTAAGTCACTCAAGTTTTACTTAAGATAATAAATTTGTGCTGTCGTTAAGGCTCTGGTAATCAGCTGCAACAGCTAAAGGAAATTACAGGAATTCTAAAATTGTCAGCCCTGGATGTTTAGAATGAAAAAGTAAGGGCAGGGGATTTAGCTCAGTGGTTCCAGCGCCTGCCTTGTTAAGCGCAAGGACCCGTGTTCGATCCCAGGTGAGAAAGAAAGAAGCGCTATGAGGCAAGGAAGACTGGTTCGTGGGCCTTAAACATAAATGAAAATTCTCATTTTAAGAAAAATTATACAGACATTCAACAAGATCATGATACACTGTATGGTGTTATGTACAAGAATTGCTAGAGAAAAAGAATTGGAGTATAAATTTGCTTATTCAACAAATGCATATTAAATGTTAACTATGCTGTGTATGCTGTGTATCATTTTAAAATCCTTTTATTGGAATCTCTCTGATAGCAGTTCTTCTCTGCCACTAAGCTGGCTATAACCTTCTAAGATATCTACCAGCTCCAAAGTAACCCCGGACTGAGGAAACACAAGTCATTTGTTCGATGACCCTCAGGAGGGTTTCAGTGCTAGGAACACACTTGCTGTCTATGTTACCACCACGAGGTGGCGAAGCTAGACTGTGGAGGGCGAAGCTACCGCAGGCATTTCATAAATCATTGCATTCACTCGGGTGTGAAACAATTTTTTATTTTATTTTATTTTACTTCATTTTATTTTTTTAAGTTGAGGCTGTCTCGGAACTCACTATGTAGCCCAGGCAGTGATCCTCCTGCCTCAGCCTCCTCTGGAGTGCTGGGATTACAGGCACGTGCCACCACGCCGGGCTTGAAACTATTTATTTTAAACCAGGAGAGATTGGGGGTGGAATCTGTCTAACAATGTACTTAGTGCTGGTCACATAGGAAATTCTTACATTTAGAAAACCCACCTATAGGCCCCAGAGCCCACCCTGATGAGTTGAGTGCAATACTGTTTACAGCCAAATAATTTTCTCTAAAAACAGTTGTAGTGCCAGCACTTTCACCATGATCTACAGCACTGCTAAACAGCCTGTCAAACTCACTGCAGTCCAACACTAAGGAAAATACGGAATCTGCCAAGTATTTCACATATGTTTATCAGATACTTTAGAATTGTTACTAAAGGATAAGCTCTCCCCTGATTCTACGCTGAGCATAAATGGCAAGAAAGTTCATCGACGGTGTGCCAATTTCTATTCAAAATATCATGCCACGGCACTATTTTTAAGTTTAGTTTCAGGAATGGAGACAAAGTAATGTCTGCTTTAGAAGTCTGGCAGTACTGGAGGGAAAGGAAGATGGTAAAGTCACAGGGATAATTGTTTTACAGTAAACTACAACTTCTGTTTCTCATCACAGTGAAAAAAAAATAAAACCTCTCTGTATTTTGTCAGCTATTTTTCCAGGACATGTACATCTCAATTTATGCAAAAGATATGCTTTGTGTAAATAAAATTTGGGTTAGATGCCACTAGGCATTCACCATGGGAACGCCGCTAGCTCTTTTATTTCATGACTTATGAAGTACACAGCGTATGGCTCCTGACTTAACTTGATATTTTTTAAAGTAGGAATTTCAAAGGAAGGAATATCTATAAATGTATTAGGGTTACCAACTTTCAAAAACAACTTATGATCACCATGCTTTTAGCTAATCACACATCATCTGTACCTAAATGAAGCTTTAAAACTTTTGAAATTTTAAAATAATGAGTTGTGTACTAATATTTGACTTAGCTCTTTCCTAACCTCCCATGTCAGATTTCTCATCTGCAAAGTTAATTCAGGGCTAAGGTGAAGTAGCTTCATCCTCCCAAATTCTGAGTCTGATCCTGCTCTTAAAATGCAGTATACATGAGGACACTTAAACTTTGGGCACAGAAAGATAAATAATTTACTCAGTAAGGGAAATGAACCCACACTAGCAACTGGTTATTTTAATATTTAATGAGCAAATTTTGTGTTCAAGCGTACACTAAATAATCTCACATTTTAAAAAATGTGATTTTTAAAAGCCTACAGGTTTCCCAGCTATGTGGAATAAAAGGAGGGAGAATATCTACGCATACCCTTTCTCACACTAAAGAAACTTCTTCAATATTTTATAATAAAAATACAGTTCCATATGATGCTGGTTGCCACTTTCAAACCTAGATGCGTTATCTGGCTGATATTTTAGCATTTTCTTTTCTAAATTATAAACCAGATTCCAAGCAGCAAAACAGGACTTTTGCAATTTTCTGTTGAGGCACATGTACTTAGGATAAAGTGAAAGCTGCTTTCACAAATGAAAAAGGTTTGGGTGTGGGGAGAAATGACAGGCAGCTTCTTTGTAAATCAACAACAATGGGAAAAAGAGAAATCAGGCCGATGTATTGTCACAACTTTTCAAAAGCTTTCTATCTCGAGACTGTACAAAAAGCACAGAGAGAAAAACAGAACCCCATCGCTCAGCTGCAGCTTCATCAATTCTTTGCCGGTTCTGTTTCATCCACCTCCTTCCAGCTTTCTCTTCTTTTCTTCACTATTTTGAAGCAAGACTTTGATTTCATACCATCATGGAGGGGGGGGGATCTAGCTTTCCACAGTAATTCTGTCAAAGTGGCTTTAAAAGAGTAGAATTCCCAGGAATAAGTTTTACACCTTTTCCAAAGGCATCTGTTAATAATCATAAAAATAAAGAGGGTCCCCTCTGGCACCGCTTGAGTAGAAAGAATTCCATTTATACTCCAATGCAAACATCCTTACTGTGAATACTAAACCTCTCAGAGGCCGGTAGTTAGGTTGCCTGTGGGAAGGATAGTTCCTTTCTTTGGGGGCTGCTAGCGCTAAGTTTGATCCCCTTTTTTCAGAGCTCTTCAGAGAAGCCCCTCACGAAGTGCCTGGCTCTTAGGGACTGGTCAGGTTCTAGGCTCTTCTCTGTCCAGGGCGTCCATCCTTACCTTCAAAGTTTACTCGGTCCTCAGAGGCACCGGCCAGCTAGGATTCGAGCGCTCCGGGCGGGAAGGAGGGCGGGGTGCCTCTGCCGGTCCCTGCGGCCGCAAGCAGCCACCGAGCTTGCAGCAGACACTGCAGAGGCGGCGCGGGAGCCCAGCAGCAGCAGCTGGAGAGGGAGGGGTGCGAGGGGCGATGACGCGTGGGAAGGAGGTGGGAGAGAGTGGAGGGAGCTGGAGGGACCGGATAGGGCCTAAGGGAGAGGGGCTCTTTGCTTTGCGGCAGATCCAGCCAACCCTCACCTCAGCATCCCCGTGCACACACTGAATTAGATGAGCACTAAGAAAAAAAAAGTCACGAATGGGTCCACAACACATGTATCTTATTGACACCCAGTAAATCATCTCAAGAAGGCAAGCAAGCGAGGAGCTCCAGACAGTGTTCCTTAGGTTTGTCTCCCTCAGGCTTCCTATTAGGATGCAGCCGTCCAGAGGAACCCAGGGTGTCTCCCCACCCATCCCAAGCCAGTCTTTATCCAGGACTTTGCTTCACCAGACGGACATCACACAGGACCAACCACCTCCAACTGCCTCTAATCAGGTTCCCCGCCAAGTCCAGGCCTGAAGGATCTGAAACCAGCTTCGAGGCAAAGAAGCCTCAGTCCTGAGGAAGCTAGACTTGCATCCTTTAAGGTCCTTTCCCTCCTCAGGCCCAATAGAAGCTATCCCCCTCCTTTCTACCATGCTCATCTCCTTAGGAGAGCGCTCCTTTTGGGTGGAGTTTCCTGGGACAACATGCACTGATAATACCACAAGGAGCATAGAAATTTGTTCCTGGCCCTCCAGGCAGAAAGATCAAATAAATGCTGTTTGTTCTCCGGGGAGGGATCAAACTCTGGTCTTTGTGCTTGAGATGCAGGCAGTGGCACCACTGAGATACCCACCCCGCCCTGCCCCAGTGCCCAAACCACGTGTTTATAACAGAAAGTCTTAGCATGACCCCTAACTCTTGGTTCATTAGTGGATTATTGCATTTCTCAGATTTGTACGTATTTCAAACAGGATGAGATCACAACATATGTGTGTGTGTGTGTGTGTGTGTGTGTATGATTTCATTTCTTGTTTCCTCACTTAGAATTTTCATATATGCATTTACCCATATTGTTCAAACTTACTGATAATTTTATCTGGAATATATATTAGAACTAGTTCTGAAAACTTTTTCTTATCCATTAAACTACGATATTCGTCCATCTTCGAAAAGTCACTATCACAAGACCTAGCATGTAGTGAGTGCTGATTATGTGTTGAAATAAAAGTTTCCTAGTTAAACAGGGTGTGCGGAAGTCATAGAGAAAGCTCAGAACTAAAAATGGGAATCCTGCCTGATACTAAATAGCTGTGTGCCCTGCCTGGGCCTCAGCTTCTTCATCTGTAAACCGAGAAGGCTGAGCTGGAAGAGTTCTGTGGCTCTCAAACATTTTGGGGATTCTAACACTATATAATTCCAGAAGGATTTAGCCTGGACACTGGTCTGATTCCTTTTATTCAGCAAGCTTCCCCCATCAACATCATATAAAGCTGACTCTCAGATTTTCAAGGCCCCTCTCTGAGTCTTTTACCCCAAGTCTTTTGTACTCTATTTTAATACAGTATTTTTTGCTGGTTGTCTTAGTATCAACCTTACATGGTTTGGTTTGGTTCGGTTTTGCTTTATCTTCTTCTGATCCATGATATTTACTGCTTCTCTGTATAAGCATTCTGGCTTTTCTTAACTAGGATCTCTTCAGTTGGTTTTGTCTACACCTTCAAGTTATCCGTAACCCAATATGAGCAATTCATACACATGTACCCAACCACACCCCCAAAGTACATCTTCCGGAATTATCAAGCTCTCTGCTTTGGACAGTTTGACAGTGCCACCATTTTGCAATGCTTTCCAACTATATTTTCACATGGAATGAGCACTTTTACAATATGACTATTATCATTTTAGAAAATAACACATTGTAGGGATTGTTACTGCCTTTTTTAAAAGAAAAAAAAAAAGCTCATAATGAAAGTTTCTAGCCTTCTTTCCCCAATGCTTCTAGACTTGGTCTTTGAAATACAATGAACAAAGAGCTTATCAAATTACTTTTAATACAACCTAAGCCCTCTCCTAATGTACATACATAATTGTCCTTTATGAGCCCCAACTTAGAAGAATTTTCTTTCGAAGGCTAAACTTTCTTCATAATGGAAATGTATTTGAAAAGTTTCATCTGTGAGAAGATATTTCATGGTTCATGGTCAGAATATCAGTGATGACTCAGCCTTGTGGAAACCTTGTAACTTGCTGTGGCTAGAATCTTTCCTGTTAACCTTTAATCCTGAAGTCTTTTTTTTTTTTTTTTTGGGTACCAGGGATTGAACTCAGGACCTTGTGCTTACAAGGCAGGCAGCAGAACCACTGAGCTAACTCCCCAGCCCAATCCTGAAGACTTATCAGGAATGTAATCTTTAATAAGTATGGTTCTACATGTTTAAAGTTTCAGGGCTTCTTGATCAAAGCAGACTGAGAAAAGTAAATGCAATAAGAAAAGAAGATAAGGTGCCATTTGTCCTCAGATTAGATTTTTCTCTGATAGAAGCCACCTATTATCAGCTAATTTGAGGAACAGTTCCTGGCTCTCCATAAACCTATGGAGTCATTGACTTCCTCTACATGGCCCAAAGAGGAACAACAGTGTGTTTCCAAAAGACATTTGATGTTGAGATTGCTTGCCAAAAGCCCAAACCACCTGGAATGCATGATTAGAGATTAAAACACAGAGCTATAAGTCCACGTAGGATCATTGTTTTAAAGAATGAATGCTCTGGTCCTCATCCTGGCCCTTAAGTCAATCATATAACAGGCCACCTTGACCTTTCCCTGGTCCTTCCTGATTCTATCAATAAAAAGCCACAGAAGCTTCAGTTCTGGGCTGTCTTTATGAGACCCTTTAATGCTGAGGGGGGTCTCAGTTAAGAGCACTTCCTTCTTCTTGGAGTTTGAATTGGATGTTGACTTTGAGTAATCTTTCATTATTTCAACTATGCCACAGTCATGAACTGCAACAATTTGAAAGTTGGATTTCTTGGTGGGACCAGAGTGTGGCCCCTCCTCTATTTGGAGCTGCTCTGTCTAATTGGCAGTGTTTGACATCTACTATTCTTATGATATCACTGGGCCTGGACACTGTTTTAGAAATTTTATTTCCATGTCTGCCTCTATAAACTATAATAGTACATAAGATCCTAATGAGATAATTGACCATGTGAAATAGGAAGAAAAGAGCTAAAGGTGTAGGGAAAGTGGGAAGGGTAGGGGAAAGATAATAAGGGAGAGAAAAAAATGTGAGAATATGAAAAGATGGAAATAAACTGTTTGTAAATGGGGAGGGTAGGAGGGGATGAAGGGAGAGCAGGGGTATGGGGAAAAAATGAGAACCAAGACCTGTCATATAAAGGTACAAGATCCCAATGATGAATGTAACTGTACTGTATACCTAAAATGTACCAATATACTCAACAAGGGAAAAAAAAATATCCTTCTTTAGCTCCATATAGCCCAATTACTGTTTTGCATCTTTAACAATAGCTACCTTCAGTTTTGTTTAAGTTTAATTGAATAGCCTGTAGCTTTCTATTTTTAAATGTCCCACTTTTAAGGGCTATATAATTTAAAAGGAATCAGGTATTAAAATACAAATTCCAAATATGCATTACAGTGAAATATCAATGGTTTTATTAGGATGATGAAAACAGATATGGTAATTACTTGTATAGACATTGTACTGTCATTGATCAAGAGAGATTAAAACTATGCATTCTACTTCTTCCTTATTTTAGATTCTCCATTGGCCTTTTGAAATCTTAATAAACATGATGCTTTCCTTCTTAAAAAAAAAAAAAAGGACTGTGAGACTCTTAAGGGAAATAAAATTTTGTCTGCCCTGTACTAAGTAGTTCCTGGAAATTAGGTATCTAAATATATGTAAATGAAAGACTGGAAGAGAATACAACTACAGAGAATGAAATCAGAGGTAGAAAACACTGGGCCCAACCTGAAGACCTGCCTGAGACAGGACTTCACAAGGCAGTGCAGGAGAAGTGAGACCCTGGTAAACCTGAATTCTTAGGAATGTAAATTGGGGCTCATTGAGCAGAATCATTTATATTTCAACCTTGGAAGTTCATAATGGCTTCTGGTTTTATTTTTATTATTACTAAATGTTTTCAGGGTGTGAGAAGTGGTGATAAATAACTACAGGACATGAGCAAGCCTTCAATAAAGATCTTTATCAACCAGGGTCAAAGTGATCTTGGACAAATTACTTTGAGTGGGGTGGCTTGAACCTAGGACCTTTGCAATGAGCTACATCCCCAGCCCTTACATTTTGTTAAAAATATTTTGAGTCAGGGTCTAAATTACTCAGACTACAATCGAACTTGCAATCCTCCTGCCTTAGTTCCCAGAGTCAGGGATTCCAGGCCTGTACCACCACACTCAGCTTGTGCTTTTCAATCATGTACCTAATTATGAAAAATAAAAGCCATTTCTCCCCTTCTTCTCTCCCTTGTATTCTCTTCTTCCCCTTCTTTCTCCTCGTGCTCCTGCTGCTGCAGTAGCTGGGGATCATTGGTTCCTCAAGCACACCCAACAAGAGCTCTCCCACTGAACTGAATTACATTCCCAGTTCCTCCTCCTCCTCCTCCTGTGTGGCCCCTGTGTATGGTACTGAGCCTGTCTTTGGTGACAATGCACATAATGGAAATGTATCTGAGATTAGAAGACTAAGGCTTCAAACACCACAACTCAGTAGGCATGTGAGTCCAGGCAAGCCTCTGAGCCTCTCTGAGACTGTTTCCTCACTTGAAAAACTAGCATGATAAAACTAGCCTTGAAGAGTAGTTGTGAGGGTCAAATGACAATGAACATGAATCCCCTGTTTGTGGTCTAGTGCATGGTAGGTGCTCAGCAAGTAGAGCTAAGTTATAACCCATGGATACACCTTACAGCAGAGTATACCGAGTAACAAATGACAGAAGTCACTACTTCACTTCTACATCTGATCAAAAGCTGATTTTGTGCCTTCAAAAAGTGGCAATAGAGACAGGTACTC